ATAAATGACCTCGCAGAGCAGGCAGATTTTAAGGTTTGTCACCGCAGATTTTCGGTATCCCTAGTCAGGGTTTACTTTTTTTATATTGTATGACACGGGATTTTATAAGCCAATCAAATCGAATGCCATCATACTTGCATAGTACGTCAATTACAGAATTACTTTCAAATTGATAACTTATCATACGTGCAGAAGTTTACAAAGTTGTACAGTACTACGTATTACAATTCTAAACAATATCGATATGTTGTCGTTATGATTGCTTATTTCGAATATAATTGTCACTTGAAAGTTTTCCCGGTTATTATTCTAAGTCCAATTGGGTAATTAGGAGAGAACCATTAATCTTTCCTTTAAATTATATTGAAGAACAGCATTTCGAACTAAGAGGAGCCAGTGAATGCCGCAATGCCAAATGGTTGGTGGTCAGCAGTCAAATCAAAACCGGACTCCGTCTCCACAAAATGTGAGATCGTATTACATTTTTTCGTTTAGTAAAGTTTACACCGATAAGAACTTGTTTTAATTTTTGTGACCTTAATTAACAGGCGAAACGTTCATATAATTATGATGCTGTCATGCGGTACCACCATTTTATTTAATAGTACTTACAAATTCATAATGACTTACATTAATTTGGATTGAATTTTTTTGACAAATAGATTAAATAATATCGAAAATTGTCTAATCGATATGAGAAAGTCGCGGGACGAAGTCATAAAAAACATTGATCAAGTTATAGAACGTGAAAAAGCAAAGCTTGTTTTGGTAGTTTGATATTTCTCTAGAATTAGCTACTTTCTATATGCATTAATAATAACTTACCGATTATCATTCAAATATTTAGCAAAAAGAGAAAAGTTCTAGTGAATTAAGGCTTTCTCGATATCGTGCTGAGATTGATGACCAAAAAAAAGCACTTGAAGAAGGTAAGTGTCTATTAATCCTATTTAGTCTTTTATCTACTGTATCATAAAGTGGTGTGGTGTTTATTCGATCATAAATGTATCCTATTCAAAGATCAACAACGTATAAATTCTTTACGTGAAAATATTCGATTGCGTCGTATTGCTTTAGAAGATGCGAAAAGTCGATATGAAACAGGAAATGAATATTTGGAGGAAAGCCACAAGATATTGGAACGAGCTCGGTTTGTTTTGTAACATTTGCGATTGAGTTTTGAAATTTTTTTTTTATTTGCAGATGGTCGTATTGAATAGGGTTGATGTTCTTAGCGAAGCCCTCTTCGTAACAACATCTAAACTTTGCGCTCGCCAGAAGGAGCTCGTTGCTGATCTACTCACTATATACCCCATAGAGCAGGTAGATGTTCAAATCCTTGTAAAATATTATTATAATTTTTTTTTTCTAAAAAAAAAATTTATTTTCTTATACAGGTACAGTCAGAGAACTTCTCCTTCAAAATTCTCGGTGTTCCATTACCGAATTCAGTATTCTCAGGTACTTACATCAATGTTACTCAATAGAATTATCTAAAGACTTTATACTTAAAAATATTATTATTGTAATTAATTATGCAGGATGTGATGAAGAACAGGTTGCTACAGCATTGGGGTTTACTTGCCACCTCATTCATATGCTCGCGTATTATCTCGGTGTGCCTTTAAGGTTTCCAATGATACCTATGTCTTCTAAGTCAATAATACGTGATCCAGTATCGTCGTCTCTACCATCATCAAGACAGTAAGTCAAACTGCTCCAAGTTGATTGATTGAATTCGTTTGTAAAAAAAAAAAAAAAAATTGGTTCGTTATAGATTGTTTGAACAATGTTTGTAATTATGAAAATTAAGTATAATATCCCATATTTAGGGGTTATGTTACAGAATTTGTGACAAGTAGAATACCATTCAAACGGGTAATCAACCAGATCATATTTTATAATTACTCATGGGAAGGATGTTGCTCTAACAATCATCAACTTGGAGCGCTGTAATTATCAGACTTTTGTTAAGAATTCATGTTTGATCTGATTATTATTGGTTATAACATAAATTCTCTTTTTTTACTTAGGTTTCCCTTATACTCTAAAGGTACTGATCGTTTTCGATTTGAATATGCTGTGTTTTTATTAAATAAAAATATAGAACAGGTATATATTTGTTTTTTTTTAATCTGGTACTTTTTTTTTAACCAAATTGAGATAATCTATTTACTATTTCATTTTCTAGCTGATGAATTCGCAAGGATTGCTTATAATGGATTTGAGGCATACACTACCTAATTTGAATTACCTTATTCTTAGCTTGATATCACGCAAAGTTGTTCCTTATAACTATAAGAGCGGAAATAAGAATCGTCTAAAACCGTGTCAAGTCACGTGAGTATGGGATCGGAAATATGACGCGTTGAGGTTCGGAAGTGCATAGTATTAATTGATTGAACATTTGGGTTATATTATTATAACAGGGTCGATGATTTTCTGTGGTGATAAAATCCAAATTCTGTACTACTGTAAAATCAAATTCTGTGATGTGAATATTCTGCAAAATTATGATTAAAATTTTATATTTAAATTCTTATCAAAATCTCCAACTGATGTTGCAATTTATATTCTTTCATTGTTTACTATTTCAAATATAACCTGAATTAATTATTTGCACCGGAACCTTAGTACATATAATCTGAGTTGACGTATTCGTTACTTTCTTTGGTATTCCGTGGTGACAAACATATTTATATTTCTGGTGATATATAGACATTTGTGTATTTTACGGCTCAACTTGAAACACAGAAAATCATCGACCTGTATTACATAAACCAAACAAAGAAAACCAAAATTAATAAAACATACGTTTAATTCCTGATGACGCTCATTTTCTATTCAATGATAAAACGAACTTTTTTGGTGCCGTTGTTATGAACCCTTATCACACAATCTATGTAAATCACCTACAAAATGCCTATATCCGAATTTTACTAATAAAACGCTAAAAAAATGTTCCTCATGACATTTACTATAGAATGCTAACGCTGATAGGTTTATTCTACCTTAACAATAAATAAAAAATTTTATAGGAAATCCGTAATTCTGACCGAATTTCAGAATCTAGTACAGTCGACTCTGGATATACCGAACTGCATATTCTGGACCTTTTTGTTCGGTATAGAGTAAGTTCGTTATATAACTCACTCTCTATACCGAACTGTTCGGTATATAAAGCTAGCCAATAGAATCTCTCACAAATTTAAATTACTTCGGAAAATTTCCGAATTTTGCCTCGTCCTTCATGTTCTTTCGGTTTCTTTACGGAACACATTACTTCATATCCGTGAATTATACGTATAATATCGAAATATGTATAGTCTTGGGCTGGTAAAGGTGAGTTCGGATACCGATACGGTATATATTTAAGTATAAAGCCTAATTCAGTAATTTTTATTATAAAAAATCATCCCAAATCTGGTTCGTTATAGCCCGATTCCGGTATAAACAAGTTCGGTATATCCAGAGTCGACTGTATAACGTAAAAATCGAAACGATCCATTTTTTACAAAAAAACAAGAGTAGCTCTAAATTTTTAATGAAGAAAACATCTAGCCTAATTAAATATGTTCTTTGTGAAATTAACTAATAGGAACTATACCGTTCTAATTAGCTTTAATTTACACGCCGCTTGATCTTAAACTTTGATTGGTCACAACTACAGGGGAGGAACAATTTTTGTGAGTGCGCTACTTAAAATTAGATCAGAGCTATATCGATATATCACGATCATGATAGAATATGCCTCGATAATTTGTTACTTTACAAAAAGCTGGCCAAGCCTAATAAAGCTAAGCTGAATTAACAGCCTGAGCTATAAATCACAGCTTAAGTCAGAATAAGGATAGCTCCAGTCACAGCTGAAGTCATTGGCGCTTGAAAACACTTTTCGCTTTGAGCATATAACAATAATAGATAGTTATAATATATGTATTATTGAGTAGAAATAAATCAACGATGTACTAAAATAACCTATTCAATGAGAAAATATGAAGTATAACTATAGCGATGTAGATATAAATGCTGCCAAGGGAAAATGACTTAATTTTAATTCTATTATTTATCATTTTTATTAGGGGAATTTACAAATAAGGGCCTGAAAAGTGAAAATAATTACGGATAAGGGCCCAAATTAAAAATAATTACAT